GCACCAAAAACCGATACGCAGGAGCGGATTGACTGGTATACGGAGAAAATTATAAAAGAATGAGCAAATAGTTCTTCAGGCGGATAAGGGAGCAACAACGGTTGTAATGGGCAGGAATCATTGCACGGATAAAATATAAAGTAGCCTTGACGACCGGAACACTTATCAAATACTAAGGAAGGATCCAATCATGAAGATTAACCGGACACTGAAGAGTGTGCTAAAGTAAATGCATAATAATGGAGAAACTAACAGATGGGTGATTAACTTTTTAATAAATAATGATGCAAGAGCATCGACAGCCTACAGACTACCGAAGATACACAAGGAAGGAAATCCGCTAAGATTAAGAGTCAACAACAAACATGCTGCAACACATAAGCTAGCGAAATTGATTTGCTTGAAGATCAAGAAACTAAATGATAGACTCTCGAATACCGTCAAGAATTCATATGAATTTTCTCAAACGATCCAAAACATTAGGTCGGTGGGGACGGGACGGTTGATAAGTTTCGATGTACAATCCATGTACACAAGCATCTCAGGTAGGAAGACGGTAAACTCTTTGCTGGAGATATTGGAGCGAGAAGAGGAGGCAGAACAGATACGGAAGGAGCCTCTAACACGACTGATTAACCTGACAGTAAGGACCACATATTTTATATTTTCGGCAATAGTTACGAACAAATATTTGGACTATCGATGGGATCTCCACTCCGACCTCTTTCGGCAAATTTGTGCATGGACAAGTTGGAGAGGGAATTCGAGAAGTCACCACTGCAACCAAGAGTGCTTATGCAATACTTGGATGGCTACTTTGCACTTTGGTCGCATAGTAAGGAAAATTTGAATGGATCCTTTAATTTCATTAACCAACTTGATGAAAAAATTAAATTCACTATTGAGGTGGAGAAGGATGAACGACTACTCTTTCTGGATATTGACGTCATACGCTCCAAGGGGACACTCATGAGGAGACTATGCAGAAGGCATTCATATGCGGGAATAATCCTTAATTTTCAGTCTCACCATAACTACGGACTGAAGATCAGAATGCTGAGGAGTTTGATCATCAGAAGATTATGACTAACAGACACAGAGTTCTGAGACGAGGAGTTGGACAAACTGACTAGTATTTGCCCTGGTAACGGGTAAACCAGAGAATTTCTAGAAGTGGCGAGGACAAAACATGGGAAAAGGTCTCCTTACGTATTCACCATTCAAAAGACATTCTTTACTAATCTAATGTTATTTTCAATTAAACCCAGCGGATAATTATTCTCAAGAAATATTAGTTTGGGCCGATCCAGTTCATTATCACAATGGTCTCTATCGGCAAGTCTCGTGCGCCGTAATTCATACATTTCAAAACGCCAACATTTGCTTCGTAACTATAGATGGATAAGAAATTATGTACAGAGCCAGCGTGTGTTGGCTTTCTTTATACATCCTTGCCTAACTTCTCAGCTGCTTCGATGACTAAAACATCAAAAAAAAAATTATTGTCTTCCTCTATCTCTATTGTTAACTTAACATTACAATCAATCTCGTTAATTAAGAACAATTAATTATCTTAACTTTCCTTATCATGCTGTCATATGACAAAGAGGTTATCCATTTATCCAACTAACAGTCATGCTGTCAGTCTTACCTCTTGGTTGAGACAAAAAGGGGGGTTGAACGAAGATGGCTCTAAATAAAGTGAGTAGTATAAGTTAAAGGAAGAGAGCTGAAAGTGGAGCTAACGAAGAGCCGGATCAAATACGTACCGAGTAGTTGCCCATCTGAGGTGTTTGTCGCGAGGGCTGCTGCTGTTGCTGCACAAGCCCCCTAGTCATTTTTACTCCTCCCCTTTCTTCCGACGGGCTCGCAGACAGAATGGGCCGATTTTTGGATCCTGGAGGCTCCAGTTCATGTTCTCCGGCCGACCAATTGTCCAGACCCGTCACCTCAGGCAGCCCAGCACCGGCACCGCCTTCTGTGGCGGCCGGGCTCTTGACTGGGCCGACGTTGAGACAAGCAGCAAGGGTTTTGCCAGTATTTTGGGCTCTGGCGCCGGCCAGCAGGACGGGCGAGACGTCGCTGTGGGCGCGGTGCACAGGAGCACCACGAACCCTCTGCGGCACTCCTGAGGCGGCTGCCGCAGCCGTCAGACCCATCGTAGACTCTACGATCTGAGGCCGGCCGGCGGTCGTTGCTTCAGGCGACGCTGAAATCAGACCGACCATGACTGATGCCGACGTGGATGAGGAGGGCGAAGCGGAGACCGAAAGGTGTTGTCGCGAAAACGGGACTTGGTGCTGCTTTTGTTGTCGTGAGTAGTGAGTGGGGGCCACGAGACCGGTCGTGTCTGGCAGCATAAGCGAACCAGGCAACAGGTGAGGTTGTGTTTCGCATGTATGTGCACGTGTGTGTAAGAAATACATAACGAAGGATTGATATGGGAGATATTGAATTCAATGTAAATTAAACTGAATTAACTCGAATTAACTAAAACAAACCCACATACGGCCCTTCAAATGAGTTATTCAAGAGTTTCCACACATGCGGTACACAATTAGCAAAGATGTTATGTGAGTATGTACAGGTGTAGAAAGAAAGGACTTGGGGCAAATGCATTAAACGTATGCCGGGGCAGATGAAGTAGATATAAAAGAGTGAATTGGCCGCAGATCTCAACAATCGACAGTCCCATGCAAATTGCCTCTAGAGCAGAAGGATCTTTTTTGAATGAATGGTATCTAACTCACTCAAAGATCGCCTAGGAAGGTACATAAATGGATAATTGAATTTTCCATCAATAAAATGAATCGGTCTCCATAAATCTTTTCTCTCAAAAGATTAGCTCATTCAGGATTGACGGAAGTTTCGACCTCAAATAGATTTCATCAGCACCTCCAAAAGGCTTTGAGTCCGGTCGTTACCACTACAACACGCAAGCAAGGGTACTGGTGGATCACAGTAAAAATGTGATTATCAAGACTAGGCATTTCTCTTCCAACTGAAATTTGTAGTGGGATTGTCGATGAGACAAACTTGTATCACCAACTACAATCAACGTCATCACTTATCTTCGCACTGAGTATGATTCGGGACTATTATTATATCATTAAAATACATTAATTAAAAGAATAAGGCCACTTAGTGCCCTCTGCCCTATTACCCACTGATACACGTGGCTGCGTGGCGGAGTAGTAATGTGTTGCCACTATGTGCACCAGCCAATGCCGAATCTCGTTGGAGCTTCTGACGACACTACCTCAAGCAACCTGAGGTTGGATCTGTTTGCAGTTTCAGAGGCAAACACGTCACATCCTGGACCAGACAATCCTAACGACGATAAGTTTTAGAAACCAGAATTCAAACTTCAATTCTTCGGCGATTAAATCTATATTGCAAAACAATTGTTTACCTCAGTACACTAGTGAAATATTATTACTACTTGTAGATTCATAATTATCAAGAATAGGATTTTTGCCAAAACTCGTGGCGCACTGGCAGAGGATGAGATATTCATTTACAGATTCCTAAATCATTGCGACCCAGTGACAAAATCGAAGCCAATTTTGTACGGGAGCACTCGAGTCTGTGGGTCACTGAATAAGAGTCGATCTGCTCGTGATGAAATACAAAGGTCTCAACCCTGTTTCTCACAAGGCTCACTTAGTCAGCCTGGGCTGTAGGTTCGACCTCGCCTGATTCTCACTTCTCCTCATTAACTAATCTACGTCAAACTGCAGCATATTGTTACTCGCTTCCACAGTCTGATTGCCTATGAGCCGCAGAAAAAAATAGACATTCAAATCAAACAAAGAGGTCTAATTAACTGTACATTTTGTGGTGGAAACAGAGTGACATGTCACGAGAATGAAACCCTTAGTTGGTAGGGCACAATAAAACGATCTGTTGTAGGCTTTATTCTTAATATTTCGACGTAATGGGCGAATCAGTGCACGAAAGATCAGCTCTTCCGAGGGCAGCTCCAGTAAGCACATTGCAACCAGTACCAAAAATAAGTGATACAATTGAATTTAAAAAATCCACACTAACCTAGTGAATTGCCCAAATAGATATGATCAGACAGATCATCACTAGGTTA